TGCTGAACTGCTAGAAATAGCTGGGTTTTGGAAACAGAAGCCTTCACTGTTGAAAAAATAACAGTAAGAGGTATCTACTATTAGCAAAGTTTACCATCCCGTTTGATCCACAAACGGCTTTCTTTCAAAAAATGGAGGGACGTGGGGAGAAAAACCACTTCTTTTCATACTTCACTGCCAGAACTGGACATGGATATAGACCAGAAAGGGCCTTCTCCCCAAAAGGACATCACACTAGTAAGCCTGATCCTCTGTGTAAATACCTGGCATGAACTTTATCATTATCACAGTCTCCAGTTACAGAACTTAAACTAGAGCAGATTATCGAAACATTACAGGAACTGAAGTAATTTCCAAGTATGATCATTAATCACCTGCGCCAAGTCTAATCACATACTGAGCTCTCTTCATTGTTCCATCCAGACAGGTACTTTATCTTAATTAGAGCTACTGCTTCAAAAATTAACACTGAAGACAATTAAAAATGTCCTAATAGAACAAATGTTATATTCTGTCACCCCCGAACTCCACTCAAATGCTGTAATGTGGAAAAGGAAGTACAAAAGGCTGGTCAGATTTCTGACTTCTCCCATCATCAGATATTTGCACAAAATTTTTCTGCTAGAAAACTCTTACTGAGTATTTCTCTATATGGAAAGTTTGAGGGGGGTAAGAGTCCTCTTTGTATTTCATGCTGTATAAGTACTAGCATTTACAGCCTGTCCTGGAAAATTTGATCTAAATTTTTACATATAAGGCTCTTCTAAACAATCTTGTCATTTCCTGCAATGAAGACAAATGTAAGCATGACATAACGATACTTGCCATTCGCTGTCTTGTAGTAACTTTTCAGGTAACACAACAGCCACTAAAGTATTATCACTTCCTCCAATCTCAGTGAGAGGAATATCAAAGTTTAAGAGACACTATACGCACACAAACATTGTGTCAGCCCCCTAAATCAAATACCAGCTTCCTACTGAAATATAAATCAGTGATGTCAATTCTAGGCATTTTCTTAGTCGAACTGGTGATGTCACAGACGAGATTAGTCAACCTATGGAAGCACTTTCTTCCAAGAAACTCTAACAGGATACTTTTGTATCCCTGTTAGAGATGAAAAACATAAATCTGGAAAAAAACTCCTGCAGGAACAACAAAGAAGTAGATAGCTCACACTTTTTAGGTGAATGGAGGTGATAAACATGATCTGGGATGTGGAAGGTAACAAAAAATGAGTAAAACTAATCAATGGAACAATTTACCAATTTTAATTTCCAATCAAAATGTATGTATTCTTGAAATATTATCAGTAATCAGCAAGCCAAACTTTCCCAAACTTATTTTTTAAAATATAAGTTAACTTGGTAGCAAACAGTTTCAATGTGGCAAAATGAGAAATCGACCATTCATTTTGATGGCAAAATTTCTAAATTAAAAATCATACAGTCTCGAGAGTTTGCAAAAAGTTCAGAAGGTAGCAGATACTAAGACCAGTCAAGAAGGCTCTGAGAGGGCATGCTCCATTATGTGGTACAAAACTCGTTTATTTCCGAATGGTATTCCTCTGTAAGAATGTTACACCAAACATAAATGTTCTTTCGCTGTTCTAGAGAAGCCAACAGAGATTTTGTTAACAGAAAGAAGTGGGGCATCAAGGGGCATTACTTTTCCTAAATGGGATATATTTGAGACAGATTCCTGAGTAGTTTTAGGTTGATGGGTGTGTTCCCACCAATATTCCCAGAAGAACAGGGATGAAGATGGAAAAAAATAGATTTCCTTCAGCTTTGGTAACCAGGGAGATAAGATATATCAAGTCTCAAAATACTTACATATCTAACTCACAGTTAAGGTATGGAAATAGTATCTTCAACATCAGTTTACTTGAGAGTAAGTCTTGATCTGTTTACTGGGATTTTTCTTCTTGGTTTGTAAATCTTCTGTCTGTGTGTAGTACAAGTGAGGACTGATGATATTAGCTCACTCTAATAGCATATAATCCATTGCTGAATTTCAAGCCCTTAAAATATAAAAGCAGTTCATTTTTTACAATGAACACTGGAAAATCATTGAATGACAAATCTAAGTTACAGTTCCTAAGGAAAAAAGCCAACAGATGTTCACCAGTAAGAAATACACCTGGCAGCAGTTGCCTAGCCAATCAGCCTGTCACTAGTAGAGTGACATAATGAATGCAAGGATTTCGTATGGACAAATCCATCAGAAATTAGGTTTCATTAATTTTGCTTCTGAGAGAGAGCAACTTGTTAAGAGAAACTAAAGCATTTACAGTATTTTCCCTTTCATTATGTTGCTCAGCCACAAAAGGCTAATGTATGTGCATACAGCAGGATGTAGGAACAGTTCCTGACTGGATTCAAAACCCTGCATCTTATCTTAGGCTACAGCTAATTAATTTTATACACAGCACAAAGTACAGGGACAGAATCATAGAACGGTTTGGGTTGGAAGGGACCTTTAAAGATCATCATGGGCAGGGACACCTTCCACTAGACCAGGTTGCTCCAAGCCCCATCCGATCTGGCCTTGAACGCTGCCAGGGAGGGGGCAGCCACAGCTTCTCTGGGCAACCTGTGCCAGTGTCTCAGCACCCTCAGGGTGAAGAACTTCTTCCTTGTATCTAGTCTGAACCTGCCCTCTCCCTACCCTCTTTCAGTTTGCAACCCTTACCCCTTGTCCTATCCCCACCTTTCCTGCAGGCCCCCTTTGAGTGCTGGAAGGCCACTATAAGGTCTCCCCAAAGCCTTCTTCTCTTCTCTTCTCTGAGCTGAACAACCCCAACTCTCTCAGCCTGTCCTCACAGGGGAGGTGTTCCAGCCTCCTGATCTTCTTCATGGCCCTCCCCTGGACTCTCTCCAACAGCTCCATGTCTTTCTTATGCTGGGGGCTCCAGAGCTGGACGCAGTACTCCAGGTGAGGTCTCACCAGAGCAGAGCAGAGGGGTTGAATCACCTCCCTCAACCTGCTGGCCACACTTCTTTCGATGTGGCCCAGGATACGGTTGGCCTTCTGGGCTGTGAGTGCACATTGCTGGCACATGTCCAATTTTTCAGAATGGACAATATAGTACTTAACCCCTCCTAACTCCTCAAAAATCTACTCCCCTGGCCCCAAAGAACTCTGATTAGGGCTTCATGCAATTCAGGTAAGCCATGCATCACGATTCTAAGTAACTCCTACTTTCTGTTAAGTTACACTGGAAGAATTCTTGCTTATCTTGCAGGGCCACATTAATCCTTTCTCTTAATTTTTTAGTTACTGCAAGTTGTGGCCATTATGTTTGCACAATGTAATTTGATGTTTAAATCTCAGTGAATTGCCCCAGCTGCTTATCAGAGACAGCACTGTGGGCCCAAGTGTTCGTTTAGATGGCTAAGTCAGACTCTGTCTCTATGAAGCCTATAACGTGACTCATCACCTACTCTCTAAAGAGAGGAATGACTACTGTGCTGCAAATGTAGTCAGAACTGCAGAGTAGTTCCTCTGTTGCCTTGCAACTGTACCACTGATTTCTCAGAGGGGAAATACATCCTTACACTTGGGTTCTGTTTATTGTAACTCTCATTCTAAATGGTTGGACTTGCTTGCATGTAACAAGCAACAAGGAAGGTAAAATGGAAGTCGTATGTTCTAGCCTTAACTTTCCAGATATACCTACTTCAAAAGGTCTCAGCATCTCCTACCTTCCCTACGATGCAGCTCAATATAAATTGGTGGAAGTTTTATGTCACAAGTAAACAGATACTGAGACATTATTTTTAAGAACAGAAGGAAACTTCAAGTGACCTGTGCAGTAAGACCGGAAAGACTGATTTGGTAAAACTTTGAGTTATTACTGACACAGATGAGAAAAAAAGGTACAGCACATTCTCAAATAGTAGTTTAAAGGCATATGGATTTAAGGATAACAGCCTAAAAAGAATCTTGAAAACCAAACAGAGATAAAGTGCATGCAGATAAAGCAGGCCATTCCAATTTTTACAAGACGTCTTTTAAAGAGCTGTATGGCCACTTAATCCATTTTCTCTTCTTGGAAGCTGTCTGCATCATTCATGTAGTCTTCAAGATCATCATATCTCTGCAAATAAAATACAACCTGGATTATTTTATCAATGTTTAATAACCGAGTTACATAAAGACTGCTTTTTCTTTTTCTTCAATACATTAACAAGCATGCCAATAGCAATTCAGAAGCAATGATATCTGAAAGCTTGCTAAAGGCAATCGTACTACAAGTTGTCTTAAAATAGTTCATAAAGTGTTTCTGAATAATTCAAAGTACTTCAGTGTAAACAGAACCGTAAAATATTTTGCTGTGCCTCACATATGTGTTTTCAAGCTTTCTAAGTTACAACTTGAGTTTGGTGCATTGCTGCTTTCAAATGAAACAGGAGCCTGCCCACCACAGCCCAGAGATCATGCAGCTGTCAAAAAGCTTCACGTCAAAAGCTGACACAAACTCTGTGTGAACACAGCAGCATACCACTGTTTGAGAGACTGGGTCAGCAGAAGTGGATGAATGATTAAACTGAGTTATATTATTGAAGCCCAGTAATTCAGAACTGATCAATTAAATGAGACATTTTATCTCAGCTTACTTTTATCTACTTGGAAAAGGATACATCAAATTACCCAGTCGTACCTTCTGAATCCACCCACTGTCTTCCAAATGGCTGAAAAGCCGTTCGACTGTGTCTTTGACTGGTTCATCCTGAACACCATCCAACTCGGTAATGGAGCTGCAATCCACATACAACTTGTATTTGAAGTGCTTCAAATTATGATAAACTCTTGTACGATTTGCACACACCATGCCGACCTTCAAAACCTGGGACAAAGTGAACAAATCATTCTCTCCAACAGAACTGTGATTATCCTGACAAGATAAAGAGCGGCTAAGTCAGTCTGGTAAGACTTTATCAGTCAGTCTAGGAAGATCTTTTGAATAATTAAATAAACAGAATAACACTACATGCATAAAATCAGTGCAAAACCACATAGTTTTCACAGCCACAGCAGGTCAATTTTTGAGCAAGCGGGCAGCCAGCAAGTCTATGCAATGGTAGCTTATCAGTACTGTTTCCTTGCAAACACAACCATGTTTATAATTGGTAGTATCTTTCCCATCTCCTGGTGGAACTTTGTTAGAAAATCACTTTCAGACAACCATCATATTGTGAAAGCAGAGGAAGAGAAATTATTTGATTACTTTTGCTTAATATGTAGTACTTCCTTGGGACATGAAATACCAGTTCTATCATTTTGTAAAATGAATAATATTCAATATTTCTTCAAGAAATACACATGAATACAAATAGACATATGTCTAAAAACATGTATTTAATAAATATATAAAGATACTGGATTTCATAAAAACAAAACCTGAAAACTGAAGTTTTATACAATGCAAATGTTAATCTGCAGCTGGAGGTATAGCCAGGCCATAATGCTGTAGAAATCAAAGCCTCTGCATCTCGCAGCTACTACCGGTTTTACTTCTACAACTTCCATGTAGAAAAGACAGAACTGTCTCATTTAATAATAAACTGTCTTATTGAATAGTCTTCTTTACAGCAATATTAATAGAGAAACAAACGGTAAACATGCATGTAAATACATAACCAGAGCACAGATTAGAGTAGATTCATCATCATCTGTCTGCACTAACATTACATACAGGCAAGTATTTGCACGTGTCTTGAACACAGATTTTATACAAAGATGTTAAGCAGTGAATGCGTTTACCTGAAAATGCTGAGTAATATATTGGTTACAAGAGTCTTTGGCAATCCTAAAGCTTCACTAGGACTATACGGAATTGGAGGCATGGGGAAGGAGAAAGAGCCAAAGTTCATCTACATTTAAGGACATTCTGCATTTCACAAGAGTAAGTTTTGTTCCATTTCTACAAGAGTAGTTCCAGCACCCACAATGGCTAATCGGACGAGTAGTAGACGAGTAGTAGACCAATTACTACTCCAACCCATGGAGATAAAGCCTACGAGATAAGAAATCTACATCTGCCTGGTTTTTGGAGGGCAGGTTTTCTACACTCAAAAGCAACATAAACAATACATGTGTAAAGAAATTCAACTCATGATACATACAGGAGAAACTGGTTTAGTTTTACTAAAAAATCCCCCAAAACATCAAGATATCCTTCAAGGGCAACATTGTTTTGGACTGATGTCTTGTCACACCTTTGCAAGTATCAAACAGGTAAATGCCTAAAGGTCAAAGGCTCTTTGCATCAGTAATGCAAGCTGCAATGGCATTACTATTTCAAATTACACACATCTCTTTTTTTATTTTCTTAAATATATAAATATACTTAATTTCTTAAACATATTAACCAGCAGCTCAACTGATATAAGCAGGCATAACATCACTGAAGTAAAAAAAGACACGCTCACTCAAAAGAGCTTTTGATCTGACCTACAGTCTGAAATTTTAACCATCTTGAGATAAAAAATTCCCATTCCTATATTGCAGTTCTCTACTGATCATGCACACGTACCTATACACAGCTCCATTTTCTACTCTCCCCAAAACTGAAAAGCTACGGCTTGTGTTTCGTGCTAGAGGCACTTCTGAAGTGCAAGACTACCAACCAATGCACAACCTTGATTCATTCAAATTTCCAGAAGTACCGTTTCAAACACTGAAACAATCAAGAACTGAGCTGTGGTGTTTCACAGAGGATTTCAGAGCTTTTCAAGTATCCCAAGCAGTGAGGTGCAGCATCTGGAACTGTAGGTGATGTAAAACAGGAGATACCATCTTGCATCAAACTGATGGCCCAGTTCTTCCCCTGTGACACCAGCTAGCAGGAGATATTTAGGAAGTTAGTGTAAGATGCAGGACGAACACCAGAATGATCGTAACATCACCATACAGCAGTCAACATTTAAGACTGTATCATCCCAACTATCGTGTCCCATAGTGTAGAAGCAGCTTCCCCAAGAACCTGTCTAATCCCTTTTGGGACCCACTAACACTTTTCACTTCCAAAGTATCTTGTGGCAATGAGTTTCATTGGTTATTTATGTGCGAGGTGTAAAGTATTTCTTCATTGGAGAAATGCCAGAGGCAAATAGCTAAGTATCGTGTAATGTAATTATGTATTGTGTTTTTTAAGCAAGAAAGATTGTCTAAAAATACAATGCTATTTCAGAATGCAGCTTTGGAAAGAATCTTAGTACTGTACTCATTCTAATTTTTTCCTCTCGCAGTTCTCAGTGACTCTGTCCTAATGCTTAACTTATCTACTCAAGCTGGCCATATCAGCCAAAGTTGTGTTAAATCACTTTGTACGGAATGCAGGAGCATAGCCTGACAACAGCACAACATGCAGGGGCTGGATCCACGTCCCCTAAGCATTATTATAAATAGAAGTAGAACACCAAGACAGGGAGCAGAAAACAGTTTACAATCCAGGTGACACAGGAGCAAAGAAGTGTGTGTGTGGGCACCTATACCTCTAAACCATTTGATTCTCCCTGACCACAGAGGAATGAGGATTGGCAGCTACCCACAGAACAATCACTGCAAGCCTAAGCAAAACTGGAACAGCTGTTTCTCTTCTCTTTCTACTGGCAAAGCAGAATACTTCAGAGATGAGAGAAAAGGAAAATTTTATGCAGAAGAGAGTTGGAGGTCTGTTTTTGTTCTCTCCACATCCACTTTTCTCGGGTATTTTCAAATAAAACTTTAGAAAATAGTCCAACTACATGTTTCCATTCAATCTGATCCTCCAGTGCTGAACTGCCTTCTCTTTCAGTCAATTAAGCTCTTGAAGTGCCAGTTTGATGTAGCTCTGGGTGCCTTTTCTTTCCTGGTTTCTTTTTCCTCAATTGGCAGGACAAGTTGATCAATGCATTGCCAGCAGAACTTCAAAGACTACTTGAGAACAGTACCTTTAGCAGTCTAAATTAGAGGTCACCATAAGAACATGAATGCTGCATTACTACGAAAAATTACTGGAAAGTGCTCAGTAACACTCTCTCCTGGGTCTGCTCTACAGCCCCTGAGCTATACTGAGCATGCACATGGCAGACATCTCACCAGATGCTGGGGTACACAGGGTAAAAAAAGCTCTCGTTTTCTACTGTCAAGCTGAAGAGGACAAAAATTAACTAGCAAGTTAGTCCAATATTTAGTAGGGTATTTTAAGTTTTTTCCAAAGTGAAAAATAGCCAATGCTTTATCAAGGACAACATTTGGACAGCAGTGAGGGAATTGCTACTGTTATTTCCACAGTTAAGTTGGAAGTTGAGTAAAGATTAAATTTTTGTCATAGTTCACTTATTTCTGGTTAGGAAAGGCACACACTTCCCATGAAAAACTGAGCACTTTAAAATTAGTGATCTACATTTAGAGACCTGTATGTAAGGAAGAATAATGACTGTACAATGGACTGTGCTATCAGTGCTAGTATGATTGCCAAGAACTTACTGTCTTCCTGCAACAAGCAAGGGGAAAAGCCTTGCTGGAAAAGCCTAGCTCTCTTGACTATCATGCACAGACAGACTTAGCAAAACAGGGCACTAACAACTGCTGCTCAGAAGGGCCTGTAATCTATTTAAGAAAAACTGTGGCACAGATTTTCCTAGAGTCTGCATTACACGCAGAGCCCAATACAATGGCATAATGATAATCACACTGAGACCCCTCAGATCTCCAAGTTAGAATATTTGCAAAGATCCAAACAATATAGGCTTGAGCTGCAGTAAGGCGTACTTCCAGTCTGATGAGGGCTTAATTTTATTTTTATATAAGAAATCTCATTATACTGCATTTCAAAATACATTGTAAATACAACTTGTTCTGACACTATTTTTTCATCAAATACTGTGAGGAACTTTTTTTTTTTTCCTTTTCCACTCACAAAGAAAAGGCATATATCTTCTATACCTCCTGAAAGGGAAGAAAGGCAGAACTTGAGTATCAGCTTCATACAAAACTGTAGCAATGTTTTATCTTTGACAAATCACGTGCTTTGAGTTTATTATAAGAGGTCATGAATGACATTACTTAAGAAGGTCATATGCATACCTAATCACAGCAGTTACTGGTAGCTGTAAATTTGAAAGGAAGATCCCTAAATATTAGGAACACTCAGGTTCTTCAGGTCTTCAAAAGCCTCAGCTGTGAAATGTAAAAAAATTGACTGCTCGAGTAATCCATAACGACTGCCTACTGCAACATCATGTGACAACATGAAAGATGTGTTTCATTCCAAAAATACAATTTAATCCAAAACATCCTAGTAGAGACAACTGAGTGAGAAAAAGATGCAAGACTACCTAGATGGAAATGTTTTCTAGTTTGGACACATAGTTCTGATAATGCAGTAATGAGAAAAAGGCTCTAATAAAATGTATTGAAGTAGTTAGGAACAAGTCTTCTCAAAAGGAGATCAGCAATTTTAAGTGTCAAAGCAACTGGGATGTCAAGATACTTTGTCCCGAGTGAACACCTACATGGGAAATAGCAGATGTGAAACAATCTGAAGAATGAAGGGGTAAATTCTGACTAGGCTGCACTTGGACCATTAGAATGACAGTGGCACTATTTCACTTAGTGTTCTGACCTACAGCAAACAAGACCTGTTCGAGCGCACCCGGACGCTCCAAACGCCAGAGGCACAGAATTAGCAAACCTAGTGACCCAATGTAGCACCTGCCTTAATTGCAACAAAATAGAAAACAATTGATCAATGGAGATGATTGTCAATTATACAGAAAGTTACTTTTAAAGTGTTTCTGGAAGCTAATCAACACAAGACTCCTGCTGGGAACGTCTTAAGGGCATTACCAGCACACACAAAGGTAAAGGGCTTTCAAGTGATGTAATTTCAGTGAAAAGTCATTCTGGTATTTAGCATATATGTAAATCTGAGGCAAATGTCATTCTTGATTTAAAGTCTTAGACTCCTAGCATAAGGAGATAGGATAAAAAAAAAGTCATAGTATTTCTCAGGTACTTGGTGAAAACTAGGAATGCCAGGCATGTTCAGGACATCACTCAGTCATGTAATTTCTTTAACAGTTTTTTTTCTTTCTTTAAGACACACATCTGCTTTAGGATTTTCAATCTTCTATTAAATGTTCTCTGACAAAACAAAAAGCTACTTTAGGAATAACTGATTGAGAGCTCATATTAGCACTTTGGTTAATATGCAAATCTTCATGTGTGCTGTTAGCCTCTCTGACACACACAGCGCCAGACTGCCTCCCCATGCATCACAGAAGACAAGCATGCCGAGTAGGTGTGTAGGATGCCATGTACCTAGTTTCCCTCCTGCTCTGCATGAGATTCAGACTGTAGAGATTTGAAGCAGAGGAAAAATTGAGGCAAATGTTAATTTTTACTTGAGGGCAAGAGCTATCAATAAATCCTAACATATGTCTTAAAGCCCTTCATCTTTTTTATTATTAAGTCCAGCTCATGGTTGGGTATAATTACTAGCACTTACTGCAGCACAAGTACATGTGCTGCATCAGGTACTCATATTAAGTGGCAAAAATGAGAAAGAAACAGCGCACCGATCTTGTGATGGAGGCAAAAAACAAAGGTCATAGAAAAGTCCAAGATTTACTGTCTTGATAAAAGTTACATTTATTTGAGGATACTTTTCATGACCTCTTTCCCAACATATGATGTCCAATGACAGGACAAGGGGCAACGGGTGCAAGCTGGAGCACAGGAGGTTCCACATTAACATAAGGAAAAACTTTTTTGCTGTGAGGTTGACAGAGCACTGGAACAGGCTACCCAGAGAGGTTGTGGAGTCTCCTTCTCTGAAGACATTCAAGACCTGCCTGGATGCGTTCTGTTTGATCTACTCTAGGTGGTCCTGCTTTGGCGGCGGGGGGGTTGGACTAGATGAACTTTCGAGGTCCCTTCCAACCCCTAACATTCTGTGATGATGTGATATAAGAAAGGATTGGGGGAGTGGGGGTGGGTATCAGGGGGCTGCAGGGCACAGAGTGCAATGCCTCTATTCATCCTTTCAAGTTTCATAGGAACTCCCTTCATAATCCCTAGCTAAATCCAAGACTATACTCCGCCAAACTGCAAAATCGTCCTCACATTTTAAAAATTAATAGGGTTTAGGCATGGAACTACAGTAGCTTAACTCTTGCCTCTAGCATTATAGTGTGTTGATAGGTTTTCTATTCCTTGTCTGATTTTCTGTAACACCAGGCAAAGCTTAATAATAATTATTATATAGGGTGCTTGTTTGAAGTTACCTGCTTGTCATCTGACATGAAGTCATCTGCTTCCAAAGTTCTACTATTGTAAAGCTTTCCAGAGAGCAGCACATTAAACTTACAAAGCCGATTCAATTCACAGGCCTGACAAGATGTATTTCTCCCATTTTTCAAGATTATGCGAACATCCGGGTAACAATCCACCCGCTCCTGAAAAACAGATTTCAAATAACATTAAGAATCTCCGTAGACTGAAAGATGTCTCAAACAGGCTGCCGAGTACTCCGTAGTCACACAAAACCAGTGCAAGAGAAACTAAAGAGATTCAAATATGAAATCTTTCACCATTCAGTTGTGAACATAAACCTTCTCAATCATTTTCCAACACTTCACTCTGTTCTAGTTCATTAATTCTTTCTTTCAGTTTCAGACCTAAAGTATGGCTCCTGCATCCTGGCACTTACTTTTCTCTCTTTTTCTTTTTTTTTTATTTTTTTTTTTTTTTTTTTTTTTGGAGGTGGTGCAACTATATCAGTTGGTCTGCTTCAAATAAATACACTGTCTCTCTCCGCTGGACATACTCCATTACTATCACCACACCTATTGCACTAACACTATTCTAGTAGTTCACATACAATGACCAGGTTACTGTATATTGACTTCATTTCTTCTAAAGTAGTAGAAAGTTCATTAGGAACATACTCGTATGTTGTTTCGTGGGAGGAGGAAGAAAGTTTGTTCTAACATTTAGCAAGTGACAAAAAAATCCACAAAAAGTCATCTGCTGAATGCAGGAGAAGCATTCAGGTAACTGAGAACAGATTCTGTTCTGTTACCTGAATGTTTAGCTGGTTATAAACACATAAAATACTTCCGATCGTTAAGTATCAAAACAAGTTACATAAGGTAAAGAACAATGAGTTTGTATTAAAAAAGTATATATAATTATAGCAATTACTGAGACTTAAAGTATTAAAAAAACCCCATCAGTGATAATGTGATTTGGAGCTCACGTCATTATTTCAAGTAGACACTACATACCCTGTATCGATCTTTCCAGCGACTTCTAGAGATTAAGTTCTCAAGACGAGGCTGAATGAAGCGGTCATCCAAATAATGAAGCGAGAGCAGCATATCTTGCGCATACTTCTTCTGTCTTGTTCCATCTGTTCAGCGAGAGTCATTACTAATTTGCTGACCACCCGACATTGTACAAGTTTCTTCAAATAAAATTTTCAAGGACATTATGCTTCTGCATACTAAAAACTATGAATTACTTTAATAAATTGTTACTGATTACATTTGCTACTGTTATCCATAAAAGTGATCCATGCATCTTCGATAAACATATATTTAATTATTTTAGAAGTCTGTATCACAAGAGGTACATGAATAAACTCTACAATGAAGGTTAAAATGAAAAGCTGTCATCCCAAATGAAGACCCATTCATCTGATCCCATTTAAAAGAATGGAAGAGGGGGCAGGGGAAGTGTCCTGCGTTTTGTCCAGTTTATGTAAGCTGTCCATAATGCGTAAGGGACAAGGTTGCAGTCTGTGAAAACAAACGGCTCTGAGCTGATTCATAGCAGAAATTTTGACAACTCTCTTCATCACTTACAAAAAACATATAGAAACTGGCCTTTACACTTCAGCAGCACAGTCAGATGCCCTGAGTTAGGCAGCGTAAGTACTTTCAAATACTTAAGCTAAAGAAATCAACAAGTATGAGGATGAGTAGAATTTCCACTATTTCACAACTGTCTCCCTGTACTAGTTTTGCCTGGGATAGAGTTAATTTTCTTCCTAATAGCTGGTACAGTGCTCTGTTTTGGATTTAGTATGAGAATAATGTTGATAACACACTGATGTTTTAGTTGTTGCTGAGCAGTGCTTACCCTATGTCAGGGATTCTTCAGTTTCCCATGCTCTGCCAGGTGCACAAGCAGCTGGGAGGGAGCACTGCCAAGGACAGCCGACCCAAAGTAGCCAAAAGAATATTCCAAACCATAGGATGTCGTGCTCAGTACATAAACTGGAGAGAGCTGGCCAGGGCGGCTGGATCACTGCTCAGGGACTGGCTGGGCATTGGTCAGAGGGCAGTGAGCAATGGCATTGTGCATAATTTGTTTTTCTCTGGTTTTATTTCCTTCTCTTTTGTTGTCTTCCTTTTCACTATAATTATATTTTATTTCAATTATTAAACTCTTCTTATCTCCACCCACAAGTTTTACTTTTTTCTCCCAATTTCCTCCCCATCCCACTGGCGTGGTGAAGGAGCGAGCAAGCAGCTGAGTGGTGCTTAGCTGCCGGCTGGCATTAAATCCACAACACTCCCAAATATGTCCTGGACTCCAGGAATTAAACAGGACTTTCACAGGTGCTTCAGCAAGCACAGACACACAAGTTGATTCAGCTACCTTCCCTAGTCTTTCAGCAATGCTGTTAACAAAGAAACAGAACCAAGAAGGACCACTGGCTACCTAGCTTTCTATATAAAACCAGTTAATTGTCATTATCATTATAGCCACCATAATTACAATTATAAGGCTATATATTCATGGCTATGTTCACGCTATAATATGTTCTTCAGAAAGATAGAATACAACCTCCAAGTCACCCGCATAGCCGATCTACTTCCAGCACCTTGGCAATAGGTTGTTAGTTTTGTAGAGCAGATACAGTTTGAAATAGAAGGAAGCTATTACAACGTAAATCTGGCAAAGTTTACTCACTACTTTTCATAAGCTTGTTTTCACTTGGTAAAACAAAACAAAGCAAAACTAACACCTGAAAGAACTAGCAGTGGTAGATGAAAAGGTATTTTTAGCTCCAAGAATACAGAGCCTTTATCCTGAAGACTGTGGTGTACTTCAGTTTCTCCACCCTCTCTGAGCTCCTGACGACACCAAGACACCCTTTGGCACTCTGCTGACTCCTCCCACAACCTGACGCCGACAGTCCTCTCATTAATCCCATCTTTACAGTGCTTCTGAAACTACAGGTGAGGCTGCCATTCCGCTCCACTAAGCCAAATGCCAAAAAAGCACTTCCTCAGGAAGAACAGGACAAGAAGTACTGACTGTAGCTGAAATTTATTTGTTTTTTTCCTGAAAGCACAAACGTTAAAATAATAATAAAAAAAAATCAGATAAGGAGTAATCTCCATAACTAAAATTACTTGTTATCTATCAAATTCCTCAGAAAAAGCTATGAAGCAGGAGACATTTTGACAAATCAGCTGACCTTGCAATGTTCTCATTGAGACACCTACTTTGAAACTGATTTCACTTTCATCCTGGAACTGTTACTACTGATCAACACAGAAACACTTCCCTACATCTCAGAATGCCTTCTAGGCTCAAAACAATTAAGTCTACACATTTTTCCAAGATTACTCTATTCTTTTCAGACAGATTAGGTTTTTTTCCCCCCCAGAGTCACAGAGCAGCAAACCCAAGAACAGATCTCAGGACCCAC